CGAAAAGAGAGTTTCTTTATTATTACTTGATTCAGCCATAACATTAAATAGATTAATTCAATAGATTACCAATAATTTCAAATAAAGGAGGAATAAACCTGATTTTGATCAAACCAAGAAGCCGGAGACACGGCGGTCTGATTCGAAAATGCTGCCGAATATCTCGACAGCTCCAAAAAATTACAAACACATCTTTTGACCCTTAGTGCATGAAAAGACTAAGGGAATATCCCTACAGGGGTTGAACCTAGAGAATATTGACTCCCCCTAGGACTGTCGCAACAGCGACCTGAAAAAGAGAGAAGGTCTGTGAAAAAAAAAAAATAGGGAAGGGGCTGTAACGAAATAGAGAGTGATATTAAAAGAGGCGGTGAAAGAGAGAGAGATGGGGGAGGCGTAAGTTTGAGGCTCTGATACCAAAAAGTAACTTGGTAAAATTGGCGTATTCAATTTGAGAGCCTGACTATCATTATATACAAGCGGAAAATTACAAATATGGAAAAGAGAATAAAATCAAATCAAAATAAAAAGAATAAAATCAAATCAAATCAAATCAGAATAAAAATAAAATCCCTAAAAATTAGCCTATATTGAAGACCCAATAAATCTGGCATAATCGTTGAGTCAACTTATAGATAAGATTTCCAACACAAACAAACAAAAAAATCTTACTAATTAACATCCCCACTTTCCATTCATTAGTGGTTTGGGTAATAGACCAGCTTCGGTTTGACAAATAAATATGAGTCACAACGGAGTGTTCTGAAATATAAAAGCAGAGATGATTAAAAGGCATAACTTACTACGAGTGAACACACACATCACAAGATCTTCTAGTTAAATTCAAAAGACTAACATCTAACAACTGCCACACACTAGTGCAACAGTCCTCTATTTGTAACAGCTTGAATTGAATAACATAACAACCATACATCAATCGTAAAACATTTGGAATCCCTAATAACACAAATCAAATCTACATCAATAAATTATCTATATTTATTTAGTCAATAGAAATTACCCTAAAAGAAGGCTGAAAGTCGGCCGGAGCACCACCCTTTTCGCCACCAAACTCATATGGAGGGCCCCCTCGAGGACCCTCACGGTATCCATCCCGGTCACCAAACCTCGGCCTATCACCTTCAAACCGCGGTGGGCCACTGTAAAATCCACAAAATTAATCACATTTTTACCAAAAATCAAAACTTTGAGAGAAAATTTATAAAACCCATTATGGAAAATGCAATGCGGATGCTGAATTACCGTGGGCGATCGTCGGGTGGGCCGCCCATGGGCCGACCAGTGGGCCTTGCCGACTTCTTCAAAGTGGCGGGAACAATCTCCGATGGAAGATTGAGGTAAAAACATATAACATATTCTTAATTATGAAGTTATAAACAATAAGTAGAGTGCGATCATGCAGCCCCTGGTTTTGAAAAAGGTGAGAGATATGGTGTGTGTATATATATATATAATGAGATGGATATTTAAAAGGAGTGGAATATAAAAAAAAACGAGTAATGATACTTGAATTGATTTGTTGCACCGAATATTTCTGATTGGTTATTTATGTATAGTATATGTAAGTGGAGGGTTCATTTTTTTATTTATGTAATTTATTGTAATGAATTGTTAGACCTATTTCTTTTAATCGATTCATTTATAAACAATCTCCGATGGAAGATTAAGGTAAAAAAATAAATCATATTCTTAATTATGAAGTTATAAACAATAAGTAGAGTGCGATCATGCAGCCCCTTGTTTTGAAAAAGGAGATAAATATGGTGTGTATGTGTGTGTGTGTGTGTGTGTATATATATATATATAATGAGATGGATATTTAACAGGAGTGGAATATAAAGAAAAGAGTAATGATACTTGCACCGATTTGTTGCACCGAATTGTTGCACCAAATATTTCTGATTGATTATTTATGTATAGTACATGTAAGTGGAGGGTCTACTTTTTTATTTATGCGATTTGTTGTAATGAATTGTCAGACCTATTTATTTTAATTGATCCATTTATGCATAAATAAATAAGTGAGACCCTCCACTTACATGTACTATGCATAAATAATTAATTAGAAACATTCGGTGCAATAAATCGATGCAAGTATCATTACTCGGAAAAAAATTCAGAAATATTCGGTGTAATAATTCGATGCAATAAATTAGTGTAAATATCATTACTCGAAAAAAAAATATAGAGATGGGTGGATTGGACTCGTTACTCTTTAGAAGGAGAGAGTTAAAAATTGGTGAAAAAAAATTAAAAGGTGGCAGCTTTACATATACAAGATTGTCAAATAATGACAAGTATAAAATATTATATTTAGAGCATTGCTATTGTAAGAGTCACATAGTTCCTATATTTAGGAATTTGGGGGAGAGAATTAATTAAGAAAGAATCATTTGCAAGTAAGGAAACAAATTAAGTTTTTTTCTCTCTCTTTTCACGTTCTCTCTTTCTCTTTTTTGGTTAACCCTCAACCAATTTGACGTAAAATTTTTGTGATGAGGTTATTCTAAAATTCAAAAACGCGAACATATAAAAAAATATATTAAAAAAAAATCTCAAATAGAATGAAATAGTGTCACGAACATAATAAATGAAATAGTGTCACGAACATAATAAATGAAATTTAACTTACTGAAACCCCGTATGTCACCTTTGAGGGTTAACCCATTGAGAGAAAGAGACAGATTAGTTGAGGGTATTAACCAATGACTCAACCAATGAGAGAAAAAGAGAACGTGGAGAGAAGAGAGAGAAAAAAGCTTGATTTGTTTCTTTAATTGCGAATGATTCTTTTTTAATTAATTGTCTCTCCCAAACTCTTAAAAATAGAAATTGTATGGCTTATAAGCTCCGAATTTTGTAAACATTTTGCGATAGCGCTCTCTCATAATAACACTACTCATATATTTATTACATTTACAAGCATACTTGTACTAAATGATTTTTTTTATTAAAGGCGTTGTAAATGTACTAGTGACACCAAATAAAGGAATGACTACTTTAATCCACTTCATTTTTATAAATTAATTGAACTATCCTAAAAGGGAACACAAAATCATATGATCTGTATGAGGTACTGTTTTTGTATTATTAAAGCACATTTAAAAGGGTATGGTGTTATCATTAAGAGTAAAAACTTATAATATGTATACTTGCATATATAACTTATATATGTGTGTGTGTGTGTGAGAGTTTTTATTCCACAAATCTCAAACAGTACTGATTTGATCCCAAGAATAATATTATTTGAAAAAAATCAAGTTATTCTCGAGCTAAGTTGAAATAGGGTTTGCTTAAATGCGTGTTCAGTTCGAACTTTCTAACAAGTTTAAAAATTTGAGTGCAGACTACACACTCGACTTGTCATTATTTAAGAAATTCGTTTAAAATTAATTTGAACTCGTGTTCAATATTATATTCATGAACTTATTCAATCAACTCTACACAATCTTATATTCGTGATAATGTTCAAGAGTCTATATTTATGAACATGTACGAGCCTACAATTTAGTTATTAGTGTGATCACGAGTCAAACCTAATAATATTTGGAATCAATTCCAACCCCAAAAATCGAGTTTGTACTTGCTTCTTTATTACTAATTAGGGCCTGTTTACTAACAGGAATGATTCCTAATTTCTACTGTCAATTCCTAAATTTAAGAAGTAAAAATAAAAATCATGTTTAATAAAATACTTTCACTTTTTTGTTTTAAGAAGATACTTTCTAATTTTACTAAGAGAAGAAAAAGTTCCCACTTTAAATACACCATCCACGTAAATTACTTCCTGGACTGTAGCACTAAAAAAAAAAAAAAAAAAAAGTGTCTAACCATCTCTCACCACCACCTCTTCCCCACCACGGTCATTGCCACTGCCACCTCCTCCCTCCTCCACCATAGCCACAACCACAACCATCTCTCTCCTCTCTCACACACATCAAAAGGCATCAACAATGTATCCAAATCAACTTCAACTAGTCGCAAAAAAAAAAAAAAAAAAAAACCCCTCGCCGTCGACAACCACCCGCCACCATCGCCATTGCCGACAATGTAACATTCAGTTGATTGAGACTTCGAGAGTTGCAGGGAGTGTTCGCACCTTATAATAGGTGAGGCTCTAGGGTTTTGTTCTCTATTCCATGTTTGAATTCGATGTCTTCAGTCTTCTTTCTTCTTCTGAATCTCTGTGTTTTAATTCGTATGATCTGTGATTTATACATATATATACATGTATAGATGTATAAGCGTATGCCTAATATTGCAATTCCTTGATTGTATGCCAAATATCTGAGTGGATCAAGGGATCTATCGTTAGGCTATAATATATATATATATATATATATATATATATATGTGGCTCCCTTTAGCTCCGACTATTCTTTCATCTGAAAATAGGATTTCTCGGTGACAAGGCAGATACATCTATTTGTATACATCTGCTGAAATTTGTGCTTGCTTAGTTCGCGATTGAGGAAGCCAAACAATACCCAGACACCTTTTTCAGAGAGAGAAAGATGACTAAGAAACAAAAATAAAATTATAATTTATTAAACTTACTTTTTATTTTTTTTCTTTCAAAATATTAAAAATAGAAAAAATTATTGAACATAATTTTACTTTTCATTTCATTTGAAAAAAATAAAAATATAATTTTACTTTTAAAGAAAAAATAAAAATAAGAAAATGAAAGCGGCAATAGACCAGCCCTTACACATATCGAATTTTAAATGAATCAATTTCAAATGATTCATTTGCTGTCCTAATCTTTAATACCAACATATTTATAAATTAAAAAAAAAAAAAACAGGCGTAAATCTAGTATGTGATGGTTTATTTTATCTCTTAGAAGATCTCATATGGTATTTTTATTTTTTATTTACACAATTACAATTATGAATTTTGTAAGTGACAAATGCACTCGGCGTTTAGTATGAAATGATTTTAAAAAGAACTGGGTCCAGGTTTGAAGTTTGAACAACTGGACTCTAAACAGTGTCCCTTCGCTTTTTCTCGTGCTCCGTATCAACTTCAAAAAAAAAAAATGAGGTTGAATTTTCTTTGTACGGAAAAACTAAAGCATTGCAAATTCCCCAAAAAAAAACAAAAGGGTAAAGCATTTTGGACTTCTATCTTATCCCTCTAGATTCCAACATGTTCAAGTGAATTTTCTCCGATTCTAACGCAATCCCTCGCCCCATGGAAGGTATTGCCTCTAATATAGTTTTCAAATTTTGGGTTTAGTTTCAGTTTCAATAGAACCAGTTCACCCAAAGTCACGCAGACTATGTGTTTGTATATGTGTCTGTGTGTAGTAGAATTGATTCAATTGCTGGGCTTTGATTCTTTTTATTGTTCTTCCAAAACCATTGTTTGCTGCACCAGCAAAAACTGTTAATACAGTTGATGATCCATCATCAGCACGCTTCACATGGAGGGTTGACAACTTTTCCACGCTGAATACACAGAAGCTATACTCTGAAAGTTTTTCATCTCTACCCTCTTTCTAGATTTTGATTTTGGTCCTTATGTTTGATTTTTAAGTTTTTTTTTTTTTTTGGTCTGGGAAAGGCGGTTGCTTATATTTCCGAAGGGGAACAATGTGGACCATTTATCGATCTATTTAGATTCTGCAAGTTCAGTAACTTTGCCATCTGGGTGGAGCAAATTCGCGCAATTCAGCTTATCTGTGATCAATCAAATTGATAACAAGTCCACAAAGAAGAAAGGTGTATGTTTTGCAGTTTAATTTACAAATATCTATATATCTTGTACTATATAGTGCTGTTCCTTTCCGTGGAGTAAGAAAATTCATCCGCACTTTCTATAGATTGAATTTGCAAGTTCTTTATCTCATTTGTCTCCCCTTTAATCCTAAGTTCTGATTCTTACAAAACTCCCACAAACTATTCACCAAGTCCTTTTAGCAATTTCGTAATAAATCATAGTCCTAGTCATACATACATCAACCTATTCACATCAGTAAAATCAAACTAATGACATATAAAACATCGACTCAAAAAAATAAAAATAAAAGTTATTTTCTCTGCGCAGCACTTCACCCCATAAATTTCAATGGATTAAAATCTATTTTTTCTAATTATCTTTTCTAATTATTTGTTTGAGAGACATGATTTTCAAAGGTGAAGAGGTTTAAATTTTTTTGGAATAATTACCTTTTATTGTTGTAATTAGTGGTATTGGTAAATATTGAATTTAGAAACTAAAATAGTATTAGTGGTTTTGTATTAAAAGGAAATAATGTAAGTGGATTTCTATAATGACAGTTGCATTAGATCTAATGGTCATTATAGAAAGTGCAGATGAATTTTCTTGCTCCACGGGAAGCAAGAGATCACTACTCTCTCTCTCTCTCTCTCTATATATATATATATATAGGGTTAATTGCATTAAACCCCCCTAAACTTTTTTCTCTTTCTCAAAAAACTTCCATCAACTATTAAAAAGACACTTAACCCCCTAAACTATTCCAATTGTTGCAAGCTGTTAGATTGCTGTCTGAAATTTAACACTACCTTAAGGCACGTGACACACATGACTTGCCCAATTTGAAAATGCCTAAACTACCCTTGACAGTTAAACCCATTATTATATATACATATACACTATATATCTATCTACGTGAAAATCCCCAATTTATGTTGAACAACAAATCTTTAAGAATCACAATTTATGTTCAACAACAAATCTTAAGGTTTATTCAACTTGTGTTCTCTTTCTCTATATATCTCTATCTGTGTGTGTGTGTGTGTATATATATATATATATATATATATATCGGTAAATGCTCACTTGGTAATTGGCATATTAATCATCCATTATTTGTCCTCAATCCATCTTCCACAATTTGTTCATGGGAATCAATTATCTTATTTATTTGACTGGGCATCAGTTCATTTGTTATCTTGCTTCTCAATTCTCATTTACACTTGTTTTATCTATGACAATGGATTACTAATTATGTAATCCCCAAAGTGATAGCCTCACAGAAAGGGGCAAAAAAAAAAATCATATAGACAAGTGAGTGAGGACAAAGAGTTTCTTTTTTTGGGAGGAGTGTAAAATCATATAGATACGTCTCCACGACCATTTTTCCAAGAACGCTAAGTTCTCAATTGATCTAATCTTGCCTTGTATATGAAATTTACCTGTTCTATCAGCTTACACTGATACCAAAGGCTCCTCTCCCTTACCAGTGGTAGAAGGCCAAAAATGATACTCAACATTCATCCTAAAGAAGGAGAAGAAATAAGTCTGAATAAGCATCATTAGTTACAGTCAATTAACTGCCACTCAGACAGTAAGAATCTCAATCCTGCAGCCTTTCTTAGAAGTGGTTAATGTGTAAATTGTCTGTAATGAAATGCAATCACATGTTGAATGGCATGGAAATATATCCTTAATTTTATAATTTTCAGGCTAGAATTTGCCCAAATGTAAGGTATATTGGAGACAAAACTGATTTTGTTGATGCATTGACTGTATTCACTGGAGATACTATATGTTTTTTGTTTTGGTGTTGAAAAATATAAACATTTAATTTTCTTTAAATGCTTATCAGATTGATATGGCATAATACTTCACTGGATAATCGACCCTAAAAGAGATTGATTCTGATAATGTTAAACGGATAAATTTTTCATGCAAATTATATCTTTACTTCTTTGTATGTATTGGCTGAGCCGCATATATGATAAGGACGCATTGTCCCCCACCACCAACAAAACAAAGTTTTCAGTGCCATCTTTTAAAAGAAATTAAGGTGGCCCCTGCAAAGTTTTATCTCCAATCCTAAATTCAATTTCTTTTCCATCCTTTACTTGGCACTCCATTTTCAAAACCATACCTCTACTAGTCTATAATCTATATGTCTTATATACTGAAACTATAGGTGTGTGCCTAGTTGTTGAGGTTCACTGTACTTCTAGTTGTAGCCTACAGCCTTTGACCTTTTTGTGTTATATTTTGTGATAATTGTGACTGTTTTCATTATGCAGACTTTAAACACCGGTTCAATGCACGAGAAAGAGATTGGGGTGGGCTTGAATTAGTGCCTCTTAGTGAACTGTATGACCCTGGTAGAGGTTATCTTGTGAACGATACATGTGTTGTTGAAGCTGATTTCCCTGGCTTCCGTTCAGTTGAACTTAAGGTTGAGGCGGCAAAGACTGCCTGAGGCAGAGATGAAACTCCTAATTCTTCTTCTCAAGGGGATATTGATGGGAGGATTAGACAGAATGATTCTGATACTGATGCAACCCTGCCTCAGACTGATACCTCGGGCCCTCCTCCTGCCAGTAAATCAGCAACTGAAGTGATCAAGTCTTCGGTCCCACCAGCCACTCCAATTGTTGAAAAGGAATCAATGGTTAATTCCCCTCACGCCCAAGATCCGGTCAGCAGCTTTTCTCTAGTCAATCAACAATGTTCTTTTTTTTCTTTGTTTTTTTAAATCTTTGAGAGAGAGAAAAAAAATAATAATAAAAAAAAAACACTCTTTGACCTGAGAGTCAGTTGCTAAAAAGAAATTTTCTTTTGTAATATTTGTAGGAAGTTGAGTTGCCAAGGAGTCTTCCAATGGGTTCTCCTCTTGAGTCATCTTCATTTGATGACATGGATGCCTATACCTCCAAGTTGGTGTCTGTAGTAGAGACTGATGCACATTTTGACTCCACTACTGAAGGATCGGTCGTCGCCTCCATTCCTCAATCAACTGTTGATGAAGCCAAAAAATTCTTTATAAAGATGTTATCTCGGGACCTATGAGAAATTCCTGATTTTGCCGCACACATTACAGAATCCATCCGTGTCTTATCAGAGTGTCATGACCTCACTCCAGCCCAGCTTGCACAGCTGAAATCCCTCAAGGTTGAGTTTCCATCAGTTCTCAAAACTTTGACTTCCAGCCATTCTTTTAAGGAGGTCGAGGAAAAAATAGCACAGAAGTGTTTGGTTGAGCAAGTCAAGATTAATGCTTTCGCGTTCCAAATGCAGAGAGCTATCCACAAGGACTTGATCTCAGAGGAGGCAAAGCTTCAACAAGAGGTTGAGCGGCTGCAGGCTGAACTGGCTAAGATTTCCGAGAAGAAGAAAAGTGCTGGGAAAGAGATGAAGCAACTGCATGGGACGATGGTTAATCTAGAACAGTCTAGGCCCTCTGTTCTTGAGGAGATCTCAACCCTTGAGACCGAGAAGACCGCGGAGAGCTCTCTGTCATGGGTCCAGCAAATGTGGACTGAGCTTAGAGACACATTCATGATACCAAACAATTAATCTCTTTTTATTTGCAAGATGAAAAACTTTTGATGGTCTACTGTTATATTTCTCTCTAAGGGCCGGTTACATTCTACCTTAAATTTCATGTTTTTGGATATTTTTAACTTATTTCTGGTCGGTTGGGGTCAATATTCTTACACTTTTAGTCCTGCAATTCTACTTTAAATTGCACTCGTTTCTGGATTAATGAATGTGATTATCCTTTTTACCTTAGACCATCTTCTTTTATTATTATTATTATTATTTATTTATTTTCATTTTATTTTTTTTATTGGTTCTGCTATTGATCTATATCAAGCCTTTTCATGGGTTGGTTTCTTCAGGTAAGCCTTTTCACAGTAAGAATTATTTTAGTAACTTATATAGTTATATAATTTCTCTTTTAGAAAAGTATTAGCATATATTATATTGTCGTTGATATTGAAATCTCATAATACTTTACTTTATCTTCATTCCTAATATTTATAGGGCTCGCCAATAAACATTCTTATATAATTCCAAATTTGTTTCTTATAACCACCAAGTAATACAAAAATGTTTGACAAAAATTTTTCTTATATTTTTATAGCTCCACCCACGTACGCGGGTTGGGACCGTGGGATGGTACTACGGGCGGAGCCAAATAAGGCCCAAAGGGGGCATGTGCCCTCCTTACTCCAACTTACCATACATAGGTACATATTTTTGGTATATATATATATATACTTATATGGTAATTTTAAATAGTGCCTCACTCAAATTTTCAAATTCTTTTAATTTCCTTTTGAAAAAAAAAAAATTACATACCATTCTTCAAATATACAATATATTTTTCTTTTTCTAATTTTTGTTTCCTTTTTCAAAAAATTTCTTTTTTCACTTATATATAATTATGCAATTTTCTATTTTTTTAAACTTATTTCTTTTATCGATGACATTTGTGATTGTATTTAATTAAAATATTATTAATTAATATTTTGATTCTTATATTTGTAACTATATTTTTTTTTACAGTATTTATTTAATATATTATTTTACAACTATTTTTTTCTTATTTGCCCTTTTGATTTAAAAAAAAATTATATTGTCATATTTGTTAAAAAAGAAAAAAAAAATTTAACAAGTGCATTGTGCTCCCTCTGAAATAAAATCCTGGCTCCGCCCTTGGATGGTACCTCTCTCTTTGATCAGGTGTGGGAGGGAAAATAATTTTTTTTTTCTTAATTATAAAGTAATAAATAATAATTTCATTTAAAAAATTAAATTGACAGGAGGATGTCAAAGTGGCAGCTCTAAGTATCCAAGATTCACAAAATAATGTGAAAGTGCGACGTATAACGTGTTTTATGTATTACATTAACATATTGTTATATACTCCTTCCGTCCCATTATTGTTATCCACTTCGTAAACTGTGACTCACAATTTACGAAGTGGACAATAAAAATGGGATGGAGGTAGTAATTATTATCATTTTTGTCTTTATTTCTTATAAATGGGTCAACCACGTAAACTCCTGGTTTTTTTTTTTTTTTTTTTTTTTTTTTCACTCTTTCTAAGTCATGTATTCTACTTAGATTTAACATTTTTATAAAAATTTCTTGGGTTAATTCTATCTACACCCCCTGACGTTTGCCTATATTCCACTTACACCCTATCTACGTTTCAATATTCGACCTACCTCCCTTGAGGTTTTGGTTTGTGTAGCAAATTATCCCCTGACGTTAAGCAACTCACGGTGTGTGCTGATGTCAGCATCAGCAAATTGTTAGAAATTCAATTTTGCCCTTCTAATGTCTAAAATGACGTCTTTAACCTTGTTCACCAATATGCAATTACAAAACTGCCCTTAATTTGTTAACTCAAGTGTACAAGAATACCCTTCCTTTCACTTCAATATATATATATATATATATATATATATATATATATATATATATATATATATATTAGGGTCAGAGATTGGTTATATCATCGTTTTCTCTCTACCCTCGAAGCAATTGTGGAGCCCAAATTGGTCCTTCATTTTGCTGGCTTCAAGCTCTTAATTGTTGTGTTCTTAAAGTGGTTTGTCGATTGAGAGAGGCCAAAGTTTCAGTTTGCCCAAGGGTCGAGGCTTACGTAAGCTAGAAAGTCATGGTCGAGGGTTCCAGCGTCGAGCCTGTAATCCGACGTTCGGTCACCGAGAGACATTGATTGTGATACCGTAAAGGTTGTAATCCGACACCTGCCGCTGACATCAACTTGTTCTTCAGCTTCGTCTTCCGTAATCAACTTCGCCTTCGATTTTTCGCCATCAACGTCCATTTCGGCAGTGGCGGCGGCGGAGGAGCCGACATCAACTTCGTTTTTCTTCACAGGAATGGAATCAGATTCTTGGGGTTGTAATGGTGATGGTTCGGATGGTGACGAAGTTACAGAGCTATACTGAATTCTTCTACAGAGCTCTGGCGTGTCTATGGCCGTTTTGAATTAGGTTTCACCGAGGTGGGTCGAGGAATCGCTGCTCGCCGGACTAAACTGGGTTTGGTCGAACTTAGTTTGTTTTAGCTTTGAGAATGACTGAATCGCTGAACGGGTTTCGTATGACTGAATCGTTGCTCACCGGATTGAAAAGGGAAGAATCCTCAGTTCAGTCCAAACGCCGGACTTCAACGCCGTCGAATCTACGGCCGCGTAGTCATCTTCGTAACGCTGGACAAGAACGGGGTAAGCCGGATCAAAGACACTAGCAGCGAAGTTCACAGCTACCTCGACCCAGTTCAGTCCAGCGATCCTAAGTTCGGTGAAGCTCAGTTCAGTCCAGCGAAGCTTCGCAGTTTGTTCACTGCACGTTGGTGGTCTCGTAACGGAGGATGACGGCTGTGATAAGAACCAGCAAACTATCCTTGCAATTGAACGGCGGGCAGTAAGGACTGAAATTTGAACGGCGGTGTGTCCTTGCAATTGAATGGCTGGCCGTAAGGAGAACGCCTCAGCTGTGATAAAAACCATCTTTTTCTGTGCTTACTGTTTGTGTATTCTATTGGTGGCATAGTTTCTTCATCGCCGGCCACAATGAAGAAGAAAGGGAAAAAAAAGAAAAAGAAAAAGAAAAAAGAGATATAGATATATATATATATAGTGTGTGAGTAGAGAGAGAAATTTAATGGTGTTAAATAGAGGGTGTTAAAGTCTTTTCTTTTAAGTCATGAATTTTAGTTAAACAGTAAAATCACACAATTCCATTGGTAAACTAGATGGTGGTTACTGGTAGGGGGTGTAGGTGGAATTATGAAACATAGAAGGGTGTGTGTGGAATATAGGCAAACGTTAGGAGGTGTAGGTGGAATTAACCCAAATTTCTTATCACGTCAGTCAACTGTCTAAGTTGACCTCTGTTTCTTACCTTTCTCTTTCTTACTAGACTACTGGTGAATTTATAGATTGGAGTTAGATATCTCCTACCATCTAGGTCTAAAGTAACATTCTTGTAAAATGAGTTTTTGATCGATCTCCTACCGGTGGTGTAGGTTTTTTCAGCCGGTTCGTCCTCGGATCAACTTGCAGCGTTACCTCCGGTTTAACAGCGGAGATCAATCACAAACTCCATCTCTAGTTGAAACTATCTTGTATTGATTTGGATATTAACAGCCATTCGATTCCGTGAATTATTCCATCTGGGCGGACCACATCGTCGGGACGACCACCCTCGCAGTACCGACTAACTTGTGATTCGAATCTTCATTGAGTCCGACCAGTGGCGTAGCTAGAAATTTTCTTCTTTTTGGGGTAATCTTTAATAGCAATAATATATATTATTTGAACCAAAACAATATATGTAAAAATTAAAACATTAATTCATAATATTTCTATTTAATACATTCACAACGATTTTTCAAATTATTCATTATTGTTTCAAAATTGAGTTCATTCAATTAAATGTACTAAAAAAAAATCATATTCAATGAATCAAGAATAAGATATGAAAAAGAAAATAATACAATTACCTAACTGTTCTAATATATCACATATGTGAAAAAAAATAAAAACATAAACTAAAATTTAAAAGGACAACAAGCCCTAAAATAATTTTGATAGTAATAACTAATAATTTTTTTAATTAAAATTATAATATCAAATAATAATAAATTTAGATGATAAAAAAAATATCAAATTACCTGTCTGCTTACTATTGACTTAGTCTTTGTCTACTGGTAAATGGTTGCTCCACTTGCTTTGTTTGGATTGTGGAAAATGTTGAAGAGGAAGATGAAGATGTGATGGAAAGTTTATGGTAAAGTCAAAAAGTGTGGAAGAATATCTTGATGAATTTTTTTTTTTTTGGAAAGTGGTAAAGAATATAATATTTTGGGTGGAAAAAATATCATATTTTTTTGGAAAGTATAAATTGATAGATATATTATATATATTTACAATTGTGTCACGATTATATTCCTCTCGTGAATGGGTTTTTGGTTATATATATATAGTATATTATATGTGAACTGTCAAATTTTAGAGGGGGCAACAATACAAATATAAAAATCTTTTCATATAAAATTTAAAAAAATTAAAAGTTCAGTGGAGGCAGTTGTCCCCACTTGTCCCTTTATGGCTACGCCACTGAGTCCGACGGTCTGGTGAGCGAGTGTGAAGTGCTGAGTCAGCTCGAAAAATGAGTCGACCCATTTGGT